GCTATAAACAGAGGAAACAAAAGCGATATGGATATAGATAGAAGTGTCAACAACACAAAATTAGAGTTACAAACTAGTTTAACATTGTGGGATCTCCCTGCAGACTCAAGATTCGCAAAGATTAGATGATGCTTTAATCATTTTGGCAGAGTCATTTCTACGGAATAGAAGGACTTTAACAAAACAAGAGCAGTTTTCATTCATATATAATGCAAAAATAAAGAAAAAAAGGAAAACCTACAAAGTCTATGGTCCCTACACTACAAAGAAGGAAGATTATGCAGACTAACACCAGGCAAATTTGATGCAGAACTTTTGAAAAAAAGGAAAGAACATAGAGCAATTCTTAGAGGGCTCCCCCATATAGCTTTGGAAGCAGCCCTTTTACGACAGTTAGGGAGAATGAAAGCCAAAATGGTTTTCATCCCTAAAAATAGCAACGGTAATCAAAGAAGTGCCGCATTCGTTTATTTCAAAAATAGTGAAGACCTAAACACAGCAATAGAAAATGTAGCTTGGTACTATAATACGAAACTTAAATGGAGTACGTCGAGGAGTCTGTCAGAGGTTACACAAAATCAAGAAAAAGCAAAGAGAAATACTAGATATACAGAAAGATTGGAGAAAGAGAATTTCAAGCCTTACAAAAAGACAAGTCATAATAACTCACCTCTGGGAAGATCACAAGGGAAAAAGAAGGAATTTGTTAAAAATACAAGTAGAAACTCTAGCATTTCAAGATCTCGCAGTATATCTCAAAAGGCACTATCATATATCGAGGCAGACCAAAAGACATCAAACCATGACAATGTACTCGAAGAAATTCTTAGAAGGCTTCATAATATTGAAGAAAAACAGGGAACTTATGTTCCCTATCGCTCCTAATATTCGCCAAGGGCATCCCAATGAAAGAATGCAAGCCCTCAGGGTTGCACATACAGGAGGCATCCTCACCTCCCAATAATGCAATAAGCCCACTCTCACAAAATAATCAGTTTTTCAAAGTAGGATGCCACAATATTAATGGGCTTAAAAGTAATAGTTTCAAAAGTGCTATAATATCAGAATGGGCATTAGAAAAAAATCTAGATATTATTGGTATTGCGGAAACAAATATTAGTAGTAAAGAAGGGGTTTTTTTGGACTTTAATAGAGAGAATTTTGTTGGTTTTTGGTCAAATACGGAGAAAGAAAAGAAAAAAGGATCTGGTGTAGGACTTCTGATTCACAAAAAGTGGGAGAGACACCTAGGTCAAGTTAAAAGGGATTCACCATACTATTTAGAAGCGACATTTCTCTTTAAACAACTAGAGTTAATAATCATTATGGTATACATACCACCAAACAATAAAGAAATCACAAGGGCAGTTTAACAAAGTATTGTCAAAAAAGTAGCCCAAGGATCCCAAAGAAACCAATATATTATCATGAGGGATTTTGACTATGTCCCTGATCAAAATCTGGACAGGAAATGCCCAAGGTCGCAGCACAAAAAATTTCCTTTGTATAAATGGTTGTATAAGCAAGAGTTCATAGATTCGTATCGAGTAATCAACCCAGGTAGTAAGGAATTTACATGGTCAAGACAGGATCAAAGCTCAAGAATAGATCAAATTTGGACATCAAAGGAGCTTGGCCTAGGAATTGTGGAAGCTAAAATAGAGGAGATGAGTACTTGGACAAACAGTGACCACAATGCAGCCGTAGTAAAGATTCACCTTGGGCAACTGATCGAGAAAAAGAACCTCACTACAATAAAGCAACGTGGACAAAAAAGAACAATCTATCTTTACGACAAGACAAGTGCAGAAGATTGGGAAAACTACGCGACAGTTCTTCAAAGTTCCTTAAAAGATAACCAGGCTATAAAGAGAATAAATATAGTACAACCAGGTACCATTATAGGAAAGAAAGAACTTGATCAAACATGGGACATCATTCACAACGCAATAATAAAAGCAGCCAACCAAACCTTACCAAGGAAAAAAGTATTAAACACAGGCTGTAGTAGGAAAAAATCCAAAACAAAAACAGATCTAGAAAAAAGCATACTGGACTTGGGCAAGGTTATTAGAAATATCCGTGA